CAGTCAGAGAGTAGACAACGAAAATGACCATTCATAATAGAATAATTGAGAACAATGAAATTAAAATACATATGATGTTTTCAAATGGCTAATGAATTTCTCGATGTTAATTAAGAGTTTCTATAATTTGAAAGCAAAAAGCCGTTGATTTTAATGTTTCATCAATCATCAATAGAATTGCTCTCCGAAGCACCGTTTTCCAGATAGGAGAGCTATCAAACGTTACTTATCTGAAAACTCCATAGTTTCTTTACGTTTGATGTTATATAACTTACCAAAACCTTGGAATCCTATAGCAGTACTCTAAACAAACTCATCAACTTTGTCGTTATAGTGCCAAATCATAGTAACATTGTGAATATCAGGGCGATACATACTTTTCACTCCGACTTCTTACTATAGCTATAGGATCATGACTTTCAGTAGGTTCTAGCTAAATTTTTCTTTCTACCATTTTAATTAGGTAGTGTGAATGCCTATGTAATAACATCTTTTTATCCGGACCATCACTGCACCTATATTTTTAATAGCAATGAAATCCTATTTTGTGTTGTAGTAACACAGAACAATTGATTTAAATCAACGTTTTGTGTGTACATGGGCGTAATACAGCAAGTGAATATTATTATGAAATAGGTCACATTTTTGCCATATTATATCGATCGACAAGATGTGACTATTTTTAAAGTGGGAGAATACATGCGTTTTGTTTCTGAATATTATAATAGCTTTATTTGATGTACTCTGAAATATTTAGCTTGACTCCTATAGAACGTATAATTCGTCAATCTTCCTATTGATCGAATTATTACTTAGTTCCTTCTTGGTTTGAATTGTATGTTGTTGAGTTGGTTTGGCAGTCCTCTTCAGTTTTACGACCAATGGAACATATACTATCGCATTGGTTTTCGTATGATTCTTGGTTTTTCATTAGAAGATAGAGAATCAGAAGTGTATGAGCTGTTAAGAATTGTGAATTATTCTCAGGAGGCGGTATTTCGTAGTCATATGAAGATTATTGATTCCTAAATACCACCAATAACACGAATTAGGTTGATTTAACTGAAATTAAACAAGACCATTAGTCGGCTACTTGATCATAACTGACTTCTGTGATCTTAAAACTGATAATTTCGGTGAGTAATCGGATCAAAATGGTATTAACTACAGGGTGGAATAGGTATTGATAACATCTCAACACTGCATTTTGAGTCCTTGTTGGGCTTAATGAAATATAAGAGCGACATTCTGTAAATTGCTGTTTACTTAATTATGTTTGACATAAGAGTGCTCCAGAGTTTTAGTGATACTTATCCATAGGTAAGAATGCACAGGAAGGTAGGAATAACAGAATTACTTATGTCACGAAAAATTACTATTTTATTGATCCTTTTCAATATATATATATACGATGGGATTAGACATGTAACTGAGCAAATCAGTTACTCACTTTGTTAGTTGTGACTTTTCTATCCTCATAATATTAGTAACTAAGTTTCCACGATAAAGTGTGGAATAAACATTATAAAAATCGTTCGCACTCTAACAATTTCAGTCATGAATTAAACAATGATCAGACAACTGAGTTATAACCATTCAAATCTAGTTGTTAATTAATGTCAAGCAATTTTACTCATAAATGAGTATATTGAGATATTACTTCTGATCTAGAGGTTGAGTAAGATATAAATTTTTATCTACTGTTATTGCTTTTGCTCTCGAGTTGAGTTATAGTTCATCTGTGTGTGACATGCCAAGTAAGAAGTATTGATCTGCTGTTGATCCGATTAAAACCCGACAGCGCAGATAGTTGGTATTTAGTAACGGTATCTCAAAAGAGGAACCAATTTCTTCACCCATGGACAATAGACCTGAGGCCATAACAGTTGCCTTTCCGTTATGTCTGCAAAATGTTCTGTTAGTAGACCTTTGTACAATTTCCATAAACTAAAGAAAAATTGTCCTATTCACTAACTAGTCAAATAAAAGAACATCCAATGTCTGTAACTGTTATCCATCCTCATAGGACTACAGTACATTGATTTATTTGCATAAAAAATAATAAATCATGATAAGACTATTGTTTGTTAAATATTAATGGTTTCGTAACACTTTTGCTTTACTTTTTCAAAACAATATATCAGCGATATAACGTCAAAATAGAAATATTTACCTTTTTTAAGACACAATACAGCCGGGTACGAGATTTTTACCACTACTAGAAGAGATACTCGATCAGTACACAGGATGGATCACGTTACATCAAATACACCATTCAGGACCAGAATATCGAATTAAATTATAGGCTAGACAAATCTTTATTCGATACAATTCCAAGCAGTCAACACTCAGTCAGTCGAGAGTAGAAAGCAATAATAGAAAAGAAATTACAAATTAAATATTCAGTAACCTTTGCCGGCCAGGTCACACTCGCAGATCAATCACATTTACTTTCACTAACCAAACATTAGTTAGCCCGTGATATTTATGGGAAAATAACAACCGTTAGCCAGCTTGCATTCATCTGCCTAGGCAATATCACACCATAATTTTATTCTGAAGACCTATCTGCAACCTTAAATTTCTTGTACATCTAATAGTTTCAGATCATTTTGATGACTCATAATTATATTTAATATATTCGTATAAACTGAAATTTTGTGAATCTAATTAGCTACGTACATGCATATCAACAAATAAAACTTGTTTATTCCATTAATTACTTCACATAAATGCGACTGTACGTACGGCTTTTAAAGATAAAACAACCAAAAAGAACACTTTTTACGTAACAAAATAAAGTCTTTTATTTTGGATAAGTGAGAACAAGCATTCTATAAAGAATTTTACAAAAAATGTTCTTCGTTGAATAGTAGTGCATACCAGGCCTGACTGTCCACGTTGACGTACGATACAGATTAAAGTTTCATCTCGATAATGGCAAGAATATGAAATGATAGTCTGACATCATTTCTATGGAGCCTTTTTCATTTATTATAAATTGTTTGATAGTGGTGGAAAATATTTTTAAGTCGTGCACACAAAAATGTCAATCTTCGGAAAACTGGATTCAAATTTAATATCGTGCTCGCGAAGAGACCTAAGGGTCTTCAAAAATCTGTGAGATAACTGTCAATGTTTTAGTTATTACAAATTTACATGTTAATTGCAGAAAGTTACCACTATTAAATATTTTAAAAATATGTGAATCAGAAAGAATGGATATAGGGTAGTCGATTAGAAGTTCATATCATATATCTTTAGGAATTCAGTTAAGTAAAGAGTACCATAAACTATTATCAAGTCAAGTAACGGAAACATACGCACGTCTCATAGCTCACTTGCGTGAAGCAATCAGGTACGCTAAAGAACGACAAAATATTATTCAGTCACAATTTTAACTCATTGTTTAAACGATAAAGAATCATCATAAAAAAGTAGAGACGCGAAGTTGGGACCCATATATTAAATTAACTGTCAAACTTACGAGGATTAAGGAGCTGCTATGTTCAGTACGCCAGAGAATACCCTGTCCAAATAATAGATTGTGATTTCATTTTCGGTATCGATTTCATTAAGTAACTTAATCTTACGATAAGCTTCGCTATGCGAATTGTGACAGTTTCTCTTAAAATAATTAGAATCAAATATTTTTGTTGTTAGGCTTTTTAAAGTATCAACCATTTTAAGGCCCCACGTGTTAGAAAAAAGAGACCCATCAGTGCAAACTGCTTTGAACCATGTTGACTACTACATAATCAAAACCCCTACACTAATTATTACGGTGATGGGGTGAAGCTGAGTGCTTCTGAGAGAACCGTTTCATCGAAGGTAAGACAACAGATATTAGCGGTAAGAAACTACTTAATATGACTTAATATCAAGAGTAGTGGAGGAAAATAGCCCACTATTTATCAGTAAGTATGCACTAACCACATATATTTATATAACCATGTCTTATCCCATATTCTTGTCACCTACTGGTAATACTACTCCCAAATTCTCGGCTTTCCACAGTCGAAAGGTTATAAGTTACGGCAGTTAATCATGCACGAGTTAGTTAATATGTGGTTACAACTCATTTACTAGTTTTTTCCTGTATAAACGATTGATGGTATGTGACAACCGGAACTGGAAAGCTTTTACTTCACGTTTTATTCTTTGTTTACACTTGCGTTTGAGGTAGACCAGTGGCCGAAAAATGCTATTTGTATAGCGAAAATTCCTTTTGATTTAATATGACAGTTTTCAATACTTATGGAGTAATAAGAGCTTTGAACAAGCTGACCTAAATAGCATTCCAGAGTTAGTAGGATAGAAAATACGAAACAGTGAATACACAATGCTGAAAGATATAAGAAAGGTTCTGTGAAATAAAATAAAAAATAACTTACATCTGACATACACAAGCCTTACCACTTAGTATCCATAAAACTAAGTGGAACGTTTTGATGATAACAGGTAGTTCTGTTTTTACATTATCCCAATTAGCGAAATATAAGAATCAGAATAACAGGCCTTCGGCCTGTTATTCCTTTCAAGTAAGTTTCTGAGATAATCTACTCTACTCTTGGATGAGTCAGTTGGAGGTGTATACACTGATTGTTTGAGTGATAGGTTCTAAGAGTTGATGACTCAGAGTGTAAACCTGTAACCTGTAATAAATTCTATCGACCAGAAAGTGTTTCGACCTCAATCAATTGTAACAGAGCTGTTCCTTGAATCGTATTAACAACTTGAGATTACGGTAGCTGGCTATACATTAATAAAAGGATTCTATCAAGTTTTGTTAAAACACGGATCCATCCCACCGCGTACATATTTCACCTTCAATTCATAGGTGAATGTATAGATTAAAGTAGCACCACATATTTCCAGCGAAAATGCGAAATATATTTCAGGCAGTTCTTATTATATAACATGATTGTGGAGTAGAAATTTATGTAATCAGTTTAAATTACGGTTATAGTTATTAGAAAATATATGTACATCTAAAAGGTTTAATATAGATTTGTTTTTTTCATGATCCGAAGAAATTCTTGTTCGTTGACTTCACCATCACCATCGCGATCAGCTTCATCAATCATTTCCTATGAGTTACGCAACAGTTTTCTTAATCACTTACTTGCAACTCCTCGTCAGTAAGGTTTTCACCAAGTTCTTTCGCCACACGCTTGAGGTTTTTGAAAGATATTTTACCAGTTTCATCATCATCAAAAAGACGAAAGGCTTTTAACATCTCTTCTTTCGCATCTTTGTCTTGCATTTTTACAGACATCATTCTCAAAAAGTCTGAGAACTCAATAGAATCTAATGAATAAAAGTTTCGGTTATGTGAATTATCATACCTTTGTTGTCGCAATCGAACTCTGTCAAAAGTTTTCTTACTTCTTCTTTTTTTGGTTCGAAACCAAGAGCCCGCATAGCAACTTTTAACTCTTTGATATCGATTGTTCCTGATTTATCAGTGTCAAAAAGGTCAAATGCTTCACGGATTTCTTGTTTTTGGTCTTCTGTAAGTTCATGTTTAACACCACGACCCGTGATCTCCTTCTTTTTTCCAGATGGCTGCTGAGATGGTCTTTTTGTAACTGTCGACTGTTATATTCAGGAATATAGTTTAAGAAACCCACCATAAAAGCACAATCAAATCGTTCACCGTTTCCCTAAATAATCAATATCAACACTACATAGCTAGTTTAAAGAAATAAATAAGAAATTTTCGTTAAATGTCGTATAGCAGTAAAATCACTCCGAAGCAGCAGTTTTTATTCTGACTACAATACATACTATGGTGTAGATAGCTAAGTAACCGGTAAAGCATTGTCACAGGAAAAGCAGGAAGCAATTGCTACTTTTTACATGCAGGTACACACATATACGAAAAAAATTTAAGTGGTTGAAATCCAATGACTAATTTTACGGAAATATATGCCATGTGACCAGTAATTTTTCAACGGTGCATACAACGATCATATAAGTATTCCGTCCAGTATCAGCATCCACATGAGCTTGGCTCAGTCGGCCACGTGAAGCCCCTTTATTACCATGAATCTGTCTGTCTTTTATGCTTTTAGTGCACGTGGGATTAAAGTGACCGAATGGTCTCGATAAGAACACGATTGGAATAACAGAAACAATTATTATTACTGTAACCAATTGTACCAAAGATTGTTTAACTGTATCAGACTGACTTCTTGTTCCGCTATCCGCCTTGTTCGGTTCGAACTTTCTTACGCTCTGCCCATTTCGCCTGTACCCGTTGGCACGTCTCGGTAATGTTTCGATACCATGAGATCGCCAATAAATATACTTGATCGGGATTAATAAAGCCTTCTGATTTACGAGTTATCAAAGGAACCAAGTCGTTTTTGGGCGCGTAATCGAATAGTAGTGGTGATCATAGTCCGTCCTCGACTCGACACCCACTACGGGATCACTAAAACTGAGCTAGATAAATTAAGTGAGAAGGTTTGGTGATTATTGTTACTGAATATTATTCATTTCCAGATCTAGTCAAAACAGTGTATACTAGTAAGCTTTGTTTTTGACTCAAGTAAAGATCCTTTGGAAGAGGTCTACAGGCTATTGGTGACGAATGCTCTGCGCAACTCAGCCTGTGTTGAATAAGGTTTGTCTGTCGGTTTCAGTAATTGGTGGAGGTACATAGAAATATTTTACCTCTTTACTAACCTGTCTTTACACGAAATTCAATAATCTAGTCATCCGCTGTATACTGGTGATTAGGCTCTTTCGTTTACTTCTTGAAGTTTGAGGGCTAGCGTAAGGTGTAATACACAAATTTATTCTATGAGGTGCGTAAATGTGATACGGAAGATTACCGGTTGCATAGTTATTTTTTATAAACGAGTGTTCTTGATACTTAATTGAGCATGCTTAATTGCGGCCTGCTTGAATCCCTGGGCTACCTGTTTCTGCCATCTAAATATTTCAACAAGTTATCTGGGTTTTTTAAAAATTGGTTTTAACCTATCATTATGTCTCTTGATCGCATAACCTATACAGGCGCGTTTATGAAAAGCTTACGTCCTTTCGCTGCAAAAATTACAAACAAGTACAATAAGAGACATTGTGGTGTTTGGCAATATGCTTTAGAGAGAATAAACATTAATCAAATGTCGATTCCCGAGCTGCTTAACTCTAACTGTCGATCTCTAATTAACAAGGTGGACTATCTCCAATTTCTGCTAAGTCAAAACATGTATCGTAATTGTGGTGTCATCACAATTCAAGAATCTTGGTTGACTGACTTACAGGATGATTGCCTAGTATCATTACGTGATCTTAATATCTATCGTCAGGATCGATCAAACAATAAAAAGACCTGTGGTGGCGCAGTAGCTACTGGTTTTTTTTGTTTTGTGTTTTTTTGGTAAAAAAAACTTGTTGAAATAACTCGTGCTGAGAATTCTATATTGTACCAGATTATAATATTGAATAAAGCCATTAATTATTATTATTATTATTACAAATACCAATCTCTATCAAACATGACTCTTTTCATACAAAAACCAGGACTTGTAGCAAGACTCTGGTCAGACTCTGTTTGAAAAATATCGCGTAAGATATTTAGGTTGCACGAAAGCAGATAAGCCTAATTTGTCACTGAAATAAACTTCACAGCGCTCACCAGCGTGAATAACGTGAGTGGCAGGAATTCCTTCTGAAGATCAATGTTTCCTCTCCATTGGCCTCTAAAGAATGATTATTAGCGACATGGGTTTTAGTAGCAAAATTAATGAGGAATGAATAGTGGTGACATTAACATTAAACTCGAAAGGATTCTGAAGAATGTTCTGGTAATTAAACGAGTTTCTGGAGAGATCGTGCCTCTCAATTTGGTGGTGACATGAATTATTGTAAACGCCAAATAGAAGACAACGAGATCTAGAAGACCTTACACATAGATAATTTATGAAAAGTGTTATTATAAAACCCTGCCAAAACACTCCTTTGACAGGTTGCTTTTGCAGCTTTACGTCTATTAATTAGGTTCAGCTATGACCAACTCCAATCACTGGACAGATTGTGTAGACTTTTTGAGAGCTCAACTCCACCTTATCTCGGTTACGATACGTTTAGCTTGTCTTTTTAAATAAACTTTAGCTCTCTAGGGTTGTTCTGTTATATAAATTAGATGAAGGGAAAAGGGCATCCTAGTCACCAGGTCGGAATGTGACAGAGTAGAAGGTCTCTGAACGATGTTAGGTGGTGTGAGCTAAAAAACTATGATCCATAATTTAACCATATATTGAAACTGGGATTTCAGGTTACCAAATCTCACTAAACTCACCATATAAATTATGAATGAGCTCTCAAAGTGAGATATAACTGATGGTTCAAAATGTTTACATATTAGTCGTGAGGCATACTAAATCTTCAATTCAAAACTCAATTTAACACTGATCAACTAATTAACTCATTAGGGCATTTAAGCTACTGTAGAAATCCCTAAGCTAGGATGCTCTGTTACTTTCTAAGTATGGGATGAGTGCAGGATCCTTCTTATATGTATCTTCTTATATACGTGTCTAAAACCACCCTTCCACTTATCCCGTGTGACGGCATTTTTCACCTTTTTCTGCACATGTAATTTTACTTCTATCACTCCCTGTATATATACATATTATGTTCTTAATTTTAGTTAATTCGCAGTTATTAGATTGATATATTGTCCACAACTCGTGGAACTGACCAACCGCTTGAGGTCCCCAAAGTTTTAGTGACCGTTTAACTTTAACTTTTCGGAGGTTGCTGTACTTGAATATTATTCTCCGGTCGTTCTAGTGTACATTGATTGCCTGTTTTATCCTTTTGAGGACGAAGCTCGATTCCTGTTTCTTGGGTCATTTATTTTTGGTGACCATGGAGCAGTTAACTTTTGCATGTTTTGCATAACTATTTTCCATATATTGACTTTTCACTGTTAGGGCGAACCGAAATCCTTCGTCCTTTTCTATTTGAATAGAATATTGTCACATTAGGAACACGGTGAGACAGAAACGACCTTTAATTTGAGATTTTTGACTGATTGATTGAATCTATGCCTTTAATTAGGCAGTTAATGTTGATTAGAAGTTAAATAAACTAAGATTATGCATTTATCTCACTGGGGGATTTACTCCAAAGGTTATTCCAGCTATCTGATCAAGTTGCTCATTTCGCTGTTGTTACTTTTTTGATGGGATACTAGTTTGTCTACCTCACAATACGATCGTAATGGATGCTTCTATAACTAACAAACGTATTTATTGGAGAAAGTATTATCAGGCACTTTTTGCGCACCTTGTATTTAGTTCAACTATATTAGTCCCAACTCCTAACAATTTTGTACTCTTTCCTACGTTATTATATGAAAATCACTCTTAATCACCGTCGTTTCATAGACTTGAACTAAATGGGGCGCCACCAAAAAATACAAGGTACAGAACTGCTGTGATACCTAGAGTTCGTGATACTTCACTGATTTTGAGCCATATTAACAATAAAATACACACGTAAAGGTGGCGTTACTACAAATCAGAGCGATCTTGACGTTTTGGCCAACTCGGTAATGCAGAAGTTAGTGTAGAAAAAGCGTTACCCCACAGATGTCAAACTGTTTATAGATATTAATAAGTTATTTATGGAAAATCAGACACATGCCGCCTTTTCAGGCCTGACCAATAGCCCTCAGTATGTTTTGTACATATAGGATACCATTGCAATAATATATATATATATATATATATATATATACAGAATTCACGCCAGTTTACAGACATGATCAATTTTATATGACAAACATGTGACATAAGATTGTTTTAAGTTTGCTAGTTCAGTAATTTTTTAGGTAGTACATTTATGACGTGTATTACAGCAATTCAATTCGTCAGCAGGGAACGTTTAATCTTTTCTTAAGTGGATAGGCCGTTGATTTACGAACGGTATTATATAAAGTGTTATTAAGGTGTTATTTAAGCTGTATTAAGAAGTGCATACTGGTTCATCAGTAAAAATACGCAACAGAAAGTTCATACCGATAAAGACGGCAGATATCAAATAAATATGTGCAGTATTATAGTGTGAAATGGAATATCACTGAATCATCACGACAAATCATCCTCGAAACTGATAATACTTTAAACTGGAAGACTCACATTGACCGTTATTATTGGCTTCATCCAATATTGTCTCAATAATTGTTTCGTTGAATATGAATTTCTTAGCACGATGTACGGCAGTAACTTTCCTCCATTAAACAGGAATAGAAATAGATCGATAAATGGACGCCTTCATATGCTAATTAAGAAGATAAACTTCCTGGAATGAGGTAAAACGTTTCTTAGTACTCCAAGTATATGAGTAACTTTTAATTAGTAACGCATTGAAGAATGCAAGTGCAGCTCTTAAATGTTCTCGCCATATGGCATGTTGGCAAAATAAGGTGTTGTAGAGCTTTATACCTTTGCCTGCACGCTTGAATTTCAGTATACTGGCGTCTTGTTCTGCCATGAAAACATACAAGAAAAAGATGTGAATGAAGTGGACTGTGAATACCTGATAAGAAAACAATCATCAGAATTTTGTGAGATTTTAAACGTCTGTCCAAAACCATATTCATAAGGACCGTAAA